AGAGGACAGGGAGTCACAAAAACCTTCACGAGGATGCAGCCAGAGTCATTAATCTATCTAAAAATGTCTCATTGAAGCTTTGCTTATTACTTAATTCTCTTAATATCTATATTTCTAACTGCCCACACTTTTACCTCTTTTTCCAGTTCTATGTTGATCAGCTCTTCTTTGGTTTTCTCCATCCTCTCCAGCTTCTTCCGCAGACCCTCCACCTCCTCTTTCAACAGGCTGCAATTTTCTCTGCTCTCCCTGGACAGAACAGAGACAAAAAAGGTCAATTAAACTGATAGCTCAGTGTCTAATGCAAGACATGGAGGAACTTTCAATCCCTGGCTACAGTCACACTCGGATGCAATTTTGAAACCCGTTTTCAAATATATTAAGATTACAGTGACTGACGACAAATGCACGTAACAATGTACCAACTGTGCATTACAGCTATAATACATTGCTCTCACTAGTTTTGAAGTTTTCTTTACTTTAGTCACACTTGTTGGATTAGGGTGACTTTTCTGTGAACTCTACTTGAGAAACGTCTGATATGTTTTGGCCATGTTTTTACCCACTTCAATCAACAACACTATTTTTGCCCAGCTCACATTGTTTACACCAGGGAGCTGATTATGCTGACACAAGCCGGTAGAAATTAGGGGGGGAAAAATGCAAAGGTTGCAGAGGAGGAAAGAAAGAATAAGGGAAAAGAGCTTAATCCAGACAACAGAGACTGATTAGGAGATAAAAGAAGAATTTTCCTTCTATTGTTTCAGACAATGTGAAACAAGAATCTCCCCACAGGTTGAGGACTTCCCAACCATCGGAGACCAGACAATGGACTCGCCTTGGAAGATCAGACCAAATCCTGATTGATCCACCTGGTCTTTCTTTTCAGTCACATTTCCCAGACTAAACCTGCAATACTTGCTCCTCTTGCTATCCAGCACCAGAAATACTCAGTAATATGAACAAGTACTTATTGAGATTACATTCATGTATGCCAGTTGACTGTTGGCCCTGAGATGTTAAGCAGGATTTCTCAGTAAACGGCAGCCCCTTGCCCCCCAGTCACCCTCTGTCTCAGAACATGTAAACAAGTAAGACGGGTGATAGTCCTCCTAACCAGTGCAGCTCTGCAGTATTCCATTTACGTCTTGCCAGAGTAATCTTAGTGTGATGACCCATTCCATTATGCACATCCCTTCTTTGTTTTCCTTACTGATTTTTTATGAGAGATGGGGAGAGTGTGAGGAGCATGTCCCCCACCACACACACCCTCCCCACACTACTAATATAACATTCCACTTTAAAAAAAATAAATAAATAAAAAAATTATTTAAAAAAAAAAAAAAAAAAATTGGCTAATTAGCTTTGTTCCTGTTTAGGAAAGTTTTCAAACACACACAAACACTCGACCAGAAAATACTGCTTTCTGCATAAGTGTGTGAAGGTTTATCTGCAAGGACAGATAGCTGCAAAACACTGGCACACTTTGCCAGCTAATGTGCATGTGTATGCACAGCACAAAGTGTCACAAATTTCAGCAGCATTTAAAATGCAACTTGATTGTCTGAGTACTTTTAGAAGGGTCAGTCTTTTTTTTCCCCTCCCATTTAATCGACTTATGAATAAGGAACATTCCTAGTTACAGTTATGGTATCTTCAGCAAAATTCTTAATCTGTTATCTTGAGAAAGTATGAAGAGTTTCATGCTTTAAATTGAGATTTCTGTAATACAACAGAAAGGATAAGTGGATAAACACACCAACTGCTAAATTTCTCCACACAGTCTGACAAGCTGTTTGGCTGTTACTTGACAAATGGATCTTCTGTTATCCGACTTAATCTTTCAAAGTGCTTGTATGCTCATTAATGCCCGATAGCATCCAAACTACGTGGTACAAACAGAATCAACCTAAACATATAGTGTAAGGTTTTAGAGACGACACAGGCACAAACACATATTACAAATACCAAATACTTGTTAAAGAAAAGAGAGCTTGTGGTATATGTGTGTGAAACTTGAAAGGTCCCTCCACTACAGTGTAAAGAGTTTACATGTTAAGGAAAATTCAAAAATGGATTTAACCTGAGGTAAGCATTATCATCTCTGAGGCGCTTCAGCTCCTTTTCCAGATCTGGAACTCTGGCCACCTCTGACTTTACAGTCTTCACAATGGCAAAGTCCTGCTCCTGGAACACAAGCCGCCTTTCCAACTCCTGCCAAATTAGAAAGTGAGAAATTCACCAGTAATACAGTTTTCAGATTAATGACACACTTTATGGAAACAAATACCTGTAACAAACAAGCAAACACACACACACACACACACACACACACACCTGTATTAATGTAAATATCTAATCAGCCAATCATGTGGCAACGACTCAGCAATCTTTTATTGTCCAAAAGTGGACAACAGGAGATTAGTAAAAAATGTTGCCTGATCGATGTCGAGCTGATCTGAGAGGGTACTAATGGAAAAAGGGCTTTAGTACCAACTAAGCATCATTTAAACCTACACCCTACCTGACAATTGTAGCTGACCATGTCCATCTCTTTATGAACACAATGTACCCAACTTCTGATGGCTGCTTCCAGCAAGATCATGTGACATGTCACAAGACTCCAAATCATCTCAAACTGGTTTCTTGAACATGACAGTGAACTCACTGTACTCCACAGTCCCCAGATCTCAGTCCAACAGACAGACAAATCTGCAGCAACTGTGTAATGCCATCATGTCAATATGAACCAAAATCTGTGAGGCATGTTTCCAACACCTTGTTGAATCCATGCTCTGAAAAATTAAGGCTGTTCTGAAGGCAAAATGGTATGTTCAATAAGTTTATGTTATGAGGGGGGAAAAAATACATTTAAACTCATATTATGCAATTTGAAGGAGAAAGGTAGTTTGAACAAAAAAGCTGATATGTAGAAAATTGAACTGATATACTGCACATGATCTTGCCTGCATTGGTTATACGTCTAAATCGTAATCATATTTAGTAGGTTTACATTCGCTGTAGAGTGAGCTACATAACACTGTGTAACCACACCGTCTACATCAGTGCAAAGATGGACAAACTGCTATTTTTAACTATTTCAACTCGTTCCTCTCCATGAACTGTGGACACTGGAATGTTCTGAACTACAGACAAATCCGTACACAATTTAAACTCTGAAGTGAAACCATAAGGAGCCCAATAGAAGCGACAGCATTTCATACCTTAATCTTGATTATGTGATCAGAGCATGAGGACTGCGCAGCTTGGAGACTTTGGCAAAGTTGAGAGACTTCCTGATACTTCCTGAACATAACAACAATCAAAGAAAACTGCATGGTCAGCATTTATATTAAGCAGTACAGCTCAATATTTATTAGCATGAAAAAGAGCAAAGTGTCAGTCCTTGTTTGTGTGTGTGTACCTTTGTTGCAAATCTAGCTTTTCCTGTAACTCCTGGTTTTCGAGCGTTTGAGCAGAAATTTTTGAGTCTTGGTTTTGAATCTTCTGCCTGAGCTCTCTGATCTCATCCTTCAAAGAGCTGATGGTCTGCAAACAGATAACAGAGGTAATCCAGCATAAGATAAGAGGCACTACCAGACTGGCAAAATAACTGTGCGTGCAAATCTACAAGCATGCGTGCACCTGGTTAGCTGTGCCAAGCTTATCATCTCGTTCCTCCAGTGTCTTGTTTAGACCCTCCAGGTTCTTCTGGAGAGCATCATTTGCTTCCTTCTGCTCTGTTATCTTCTTATTCGCCTCTTCCGCTCTCTCCTCCAGCTTCTTTATTTGTGTCAAAAGCTCCTGGTTCCGATCCACCTCATGCTGCAACATAACAAGGTGGTGAGCTATCTGATGCTTTGTTCATGTGGTATTAAAGGAGTATATATGGCATGTATATATGGCATGTACCTCCAAGTCTCGTGCGCTGTCTGAGGCTGCCTTCTCCAGTTCAAAACGAGCCCGTTTGTGACTCAGCTCCATCTGTTTCTTTTCCTGGTCCAACTGCAGGTAGCGATTCTTGGAGTGAACCCTCTCTGCTGCTTCTAAAAGCTAAAAGAAGGATATGCTAGTAAGTGCGGAGGTTGAATGCTGGTGCTATTTTTGTTCAGCTTTTTTGCCCCCCTGTTGATGCAAACAGTTTCTGTTTGTACCTCCATGCTGCGCTTGTACTGACTCTGCAGGATTCCACTCCCTGCTGAGTGCTCTGACAGCCGCTGTGGATGTTCGGGGCGGCTGATGAAGGAATTGAAGGACTTCAGGGTTGTTAAAATGGTCGTGTCGTCTTCTAAATCCATCCTGGAAGATGCAGCACACAAACGAAAGGCTCACAGTGCGAGTAAAAAAAAAAAGACTACACTACGGCCATGTAAAGTTTAGCTAAGCAATTCTAAAGTGCACCATTTTCATGCTTTATAACTTTACGATAAAAGTGTTAACACGTTAATGTTATATGCAGACAGGTTCCTAGCATTAACTACGTAAAAGTGCGAAGTAAGATAAAAGTGGCATTAGCTTCTTTGCTCAGCTGCACAAACACGAAAACAACTTTAGTAGCTTAACCAAAAGCTAATGTTTACGTTAGTTGCCATATTTGGCAATTATCAAGAATTATCTCAAGAAGGTATTCACTGGTTTGTTAAGAACGGTTTAAACTGCTTCACTCCTGTATCACCACAGGCTACACAAGAGTTCAGTTTACCATGACTGTTTTCTACAGCTATTCTCTCTAAGCTACGTTTAAGTAGCTAACAAATGGGCATCGCTTGTTAGAATACGTCCTCACCTCTGAGCCGGCTTGGTTTCCTTTTTTTAAGGAGCGAATTATTTGCAAATAGGTTATCTCAGTGTTGCTAACGTGTTAGCTGCTCGCTCAATACTACAGAAATCCCTCCAGTTTAGCTCGAATGGGATGCACGTAGTATCGCGAGATTTGGTAACATCGCGAGTATCAAAAGCAAACTTTTTTGTTTGTTTTAATCAATGACTGTAGAAAACTTTTATATAGTCATTGGTTTTAATAGGAAAAACGAATAAATCGTGCACTGTTATCCGTTTGATTAAATCCCCGTGTTTCTTTGTTACTTTGTTTTTTTCCCCCTCTGATTTCTGGTTTTCTAATAATAAATACAATGACGCTTGGAAAAGCCTGGTAACTCCGGCACTATTCAGGTAGAGCTGTTTTCTTACAATTGCTATTAGATAGAATTTTACCGTTTGCACAACCTCTGTCATACCACTCCTACCCTTAGAGGTCAACCACCTCCACTTTACCATATTTGTAAACCCAGGTTTAATAATAATCTTAGCGCAAATTGCATTAATAAATATGTATACTATACACTGTGTAATATGTTTGGGACTAGCGTGTTCAGCTATCACATAAACAAAAGTTATTTTGCAGTTTTACAGAGATCGGTAGGAATAATTTCATGAAGCATTCTTATCTGGCGGCAGGGTTTTGGATCAGTCTGTTACAAATTCTTGAATGCCTCCAGATTCTCAGGTGATGTGAAATAGTAGTTTAACTTAAACTGTGTTCCATGTACTCCCATTTCATTTTATTCCATTAAATTATTATTATTTAAGAATTTAGTGTGAATAACCACTTTACTGTTTTGCTCACTACCAGCGTCCCAAATGCTGTGGTGATTTCCTGCATTAATTCAGTTCACTTCAATTCACTTCAAGAAACACAACTGAAGTGGTGATTGATTGATTTTTTTTTAACCATACCACGATGATGTATATTAAAGTTGTTCTTTTTTTAACTTTACCAACTCCCAAATTCTGTTCGGTTCTGTTTTTATTCAGTTTCATAACCCATAAAAAAAAAAAAAAGCCAAAACTGTACATGGCCAGCCAACGTTCATATCTAGACATTTTAAACATTACTGAAATAAAGGCACAAATCCAAGCATATCTCCACAAAGCTGATTCTGAAAAAGGACTCAATAAATCTGACACTCACTGTTTACAAAGATCTACTTTGACCCACCATCAGTGAGGAAAGAGGATCTTGCAAAATGAGCAAAAGTAATTCAGATGCAATCATTTTATTTACTTCAACAACTTACTTCAAACCAATAAAAATAGTTGTAAAAAGTTAAAGGGTAAAGTCATACAGTTGCTTCTGAAAATATTTTCCTTTGATAAAGTTATTCAAAATTGTTTTGTAATGTGCATAAATCTGTGTTTTCAGCCTTCCTGCTGAAACTTGTTTGTCTTGACTGTAAAAAAACCCCTCATTTTTCAGTGTCAGGTTGCTCCCTCTGGTTGCTGAAGAGGGTGCTGCTGTGGGCAGGTCACAGTCTGTGGATATGTGCTTTTTTCAGTGGTCTGCTGTGCCATACATCTTCCAGGGATAATTAATTAGTTGATATCCACACGCATCTTTTCCAGGAGTGCTGTGGTCCTGGAAGCTAAGAGACAGCATTGCAGCCAGGTGACAAAAAAAGATGACAAGAAGAAAAAAGCGATGGGATGAGATTCAAATTTCAAATGCTGGTCAAAATTACAGCCCAATATATATATATAATATTGAAATAAATAGTATGCATTATTATTCAGATGACTCTGTACCAGAACACATGATGTGTTACTGGTGACAGCATGTGGCATGAAAGAGTTCCTAAATCTTCTCTTGGCAGCAGGGCTGAATCAGCCTTCTAGAGAAGGTCCTTTGCTACCTAAGTGATTAAACTTACAAACTTATTACACTTACTAAGTGTAAGTAAGTGGTGCACGGGGTGCATGCATTATGCATGATGAACACAGTTTGTTTAGTGACCTCCTCACCACCACAGCTTCAAAAGTGTCTGTTTTGCAGCCAATCACAGAGCTATCCTCCCTAATCAGTTTATACAGTCTGTGGTGTCACCAGCTTCCCTTGCAGACAACAGCAAAGTGCACTGTGCTCACCACAGCTGACTGATTTTGCTGAAGATATTCAAGGATCTTGTGAAAAAGAGCTCCTTCTTGTGTACTTCCTCTGTGTTAGTCTTGCATTTCAGCCTATTGTCAGTGTGGACGCCCAGGTACTCATGCTTCTCCCCTAAATCATCCTGCCCCAGAGCAGGCTGCACAGCTGTCGACTTCAGATGGAAGTGAACACTTTATGACCTGTTCTGATTTGGACACTAAAGCTTCCTTCAACGATCTATGCTCTGTGAATTTATTCTTAGTCACTATAATAATATTTATTTCTCGAATCTCACTCATGTTGTTGGAGCTAATTAATGCTTTTGTTCTGTGCAGTGACATCACAGACTTTAAATCTGTCATTTAGTATAAAAAAAAAATCACCTCATTTTTGGACATTTTCTGGCTGTGAAGTCAAAATGAACCGCTTCAGGCTCTCTCGATAGTCACTTTTTAAAAGGCAATAATCCTCCTCATCCTTATCGTCAGACCAGAAAATAGCCGATAAATATTCCATGTGTTACTCTTTTACATTTACCTAATTAGTCAGTGGGTAAATAACAGACCTGAAACAATGAATCAGTGCGACTCATGCTATTTCATGCCTCAAAAATAAAGCACAGTATTGCATTATGGGGGTTTTGTAGATTCAGCCTAATTTATAGACTAAAGAATTTGGCTAGAAGGAGCAAAACATTGACCAGTTAACCAGGTTTATAAATATGCTTGTGATGATCTACATGGCACTACTGTGCTTTTGTTAGAAATGACCAAAAATGATATAGTGTATTTACTTTTGTATCCCATTAGCCCAGCACCTGTATGTGCTTGGATTTGTGGGGCCTTACTGGCATAGTTGTTCCAACAGAGGGCAGCACTGCTATATTTATCAATTTATATTTTACAAAGCATGGTCTTTTGGTGGACACAGAGGTCTGCCTCGGCGTAAAGCCTCGTCTTTGTACAAATAATAAGCTGTGATTGGCTTTGCATTACTAGAACTCACACAAATGTGGGTAGATCTTGATATTGTACTTACATAGCACACTGATATGGAAATGATGCTTTTTTT